CCCAGCTCTTCTAGACTATACGAAAAAAAATACATTTACGCTTCATAACGTCTAGTTCAGAATACCATACAATAATTATAATATACTTTATATATTACTATGTAGTACATATCCTTTATGAGCCCCGGATACAAAGTTTAAATAAGTTAAATTAACTGTGAATTTGTATCCAGTTGTCCTAGTGTAGGGGTAGGAATCGTAGCTTCACAGGCTAAAGGTATTGAGTTCTATTCCCCGCATAGATACTGGAAATTTAGTGGATTTTTTCTACATGAATTTTGAAAAGTTAGTCTTTATTCCGAATAATTATTTCTAAGTTTTATTGTGTGTTCAACATTCCCGCCAAAATGTTACAGAACAAAAGAAAGCATGCAGAACAAAGAAACTCAAGGTAGGGTGATCTGATAGGGGTGGTCCAACTCAGATCACCCCTGTTAGAACAAAGGAGTTGGGATGTAACTTAAGATGAACAGCATTTTCTACCCGGCCAAAAATAGAAGAGGTGCATAATGTGTTCTGGTCTGTCCGTCCATCACGTATCACTTAGTGTCATTTATAATAACAAGCTAAAATGTCCAGCCTGTTTTACTGATCAAGACTGAGTTTATGTTGAACGTCTTTAAAACAATGGGTTTACTACAAGTATCGCATAACACTGAACACAATCGATGATCCATGTAAATAAGGAAAAGCTCAGATGAGCTCTGGGAGATTGCAGGTACAGTTTACCATTATTCCAAAACCAAATATAGTAGACCTATTTCTTATATTATATCTGATTGAAAAACTAACCTGACCAAGAAAACTTAACGTTGACTAATGTACCATAAAAAAGATGACAAGGTCAGATGGCCGAGTCAGACCGACATGTACACACTTTACAATTATTCCATACACTACATATATATAGTTGACTCATTGCTTATAGTAGAACAATTGCAATCATTTCATGAACCAAAAATGGTTAATAAATTGTATGATATTTTTCAAAAGTAAAGCCGGGATCTCACAACGTAATATGATCAATCAAAATCAAAATGAGATCAACGTCAGCTGATTCCTGCAAGACGAACAAGTTCACCTTACAATCATCCCATAATCCAAATAAAATTGACCTATTGCCAATAGTATCTATGAAAAATAGGATCAATTTAGCCAATGAACCGTGAAAATGAAGTCACAAGGTCAGATTAACCATACCAAAGGGACATGCACACCTTACGATCATTCCATACATCAAATACAGTTGACCTTTTGCTTAATGTATCTGAGAAACTGATATAAATCCGAAAACTGACGTTGCCAGACCAACATGAACACTTTTAAAACAGTCATTCCATAAATTTCCTGTAGTTGGTCTATTGCTCAAGGTATCTGAGAAACGGACCTAACAGCAAAACTTAACATTTACCATGAAAATGAGGTCCAGGTCAAATGAATCCTGTCAGATGGACATATACACCTTACAAAAATTATGTACATTAAATATTGTTGAGCTACTGCTTTTAGACTTGACCAGGAATATAAACTTAATCTTAAAGACTGGTCCATGAAATGAGGTTAAGGTCAGTTGAACTCTGTCTGACAGAAGGACAAGAAGACCTTACACAGATTCCATATACCAAATATAGTCATCCGATTACTCATGAGTGAGAAATTCAAATGATAAAACAGAACGTTTTTTAAACAGGTCAAGGACAATGGACATATGACAGACGGAAACTTCAGAACATACATATACGGTACCTGTATACAAGTTATGAAGAATCTAGCTTCTATCTTTTAAAAATAAAAAGCTTTATACAAATAGTTTCAGTCGTCGAGGTCGCCATCGCCAGCACATGATATGTATGCACAAGGATTTGTATAGTATGCATTCCGCTACTTTCGTCGCAGGCGAAATTGACAAAAAAAAACATTTTTATGCCCGCCTACGATAGCAGAGGGGACTTTTGATTTTTAAACGTGTGTCCTTCCGTCCGTCCCGTACCAGCTGTTAATGGTAAGTTTATGTCTTGGTTTCAGGTAACTGTGGTTACATTAAGTTAACTTGATAGAAGTTAACTTTTTAAAAATATATGCCAAATTAGGGTTTGAACCATATTTTGTGAACTTAGAAATTTCAAAGTGTAAGCGGGGCATAGCCGGACCCACTATGATACTGTTGATTTGAAAAAAAATATCTAACTCAATACGAATATAACTCAACAGAATGCAATTAGACTGTGTTAAACAGTCAGATGTCCGCGGACATACTCATACTGACTCCTCTGAGCATAACCAACCTATGCTTCTGTAGGTATGCATACAGGTTCCCACAGATCCTCGTTGGGAGAAGCAGCTGTTCCTTGTGTGTCGGTTTATCTTAACTATCTGGTAAAGCCTTATTCATATCGTGGTTTATAAACTGTTTGGTAGCATATTGTAAGACTGCAGGGCTGTATGAATGGATATCGTCGTAAGGACGATAACTCAAATCAATATGGTATATTAGGCCATAAAACTCTTTAATTGATTTGTTAACCTACTCGCTCCTAAAATTTTCGGGGAAATTAATTCAGCTGGATTCATAGTCTTTTTCTTCCATTATTTTCCATCGAATTGCTTAAAACTAATTTCCAGATAAAAAAAAATAGTATTAAATAATTGCCCTTCTAATTAAATAATCATTTCATTATAAATTCTGATTTAAGAATAGCACCTTTAACTAACCTATAGAATTTTAAATTTAAAACTTATTTAAACTTTTAAATTTCAAATTTTACTTGTAAATATATTCAGTTCCTACATAACTTTTTCTTACACCTCAGCCCATTATGATTAGTTAATTTTATGGTTTAAATTAAAACTGTAATGACTATCCAATGAATTATAATAGTGATATTGCCTTTATTCATTTATCTGTACATAAGTTTATATGTTCCCTTATGTTTTAAGGTGTATATAGTTGCTACAATTATACCCTATGGGTAGTGCGCCACAATTAATGGAGGAACATACAAGAAACTGAACTGAACTGAACTCTAAAAAAATATTAAAAGTTTTTTTTTAAATTTCATCTTTTGCAAAAATCATATTGTGGGTTCAAGCGAAACAAGAAACACAAAGATGCAGGAAACTATTTAAGAAATGAATGCTTCTTTTTGTAATTTTATTGGGGTGTAAAAGTGTTGACCGAAGCACATTTTATTTCCGCACTTCATTCTAAAAATGTGTGCACGATCAAGACTTTTACAACCCAATAAAATTACTAAAAGAAGCATTCATTTCTTATAATTACATTTCTATGCTTAGACCATGAAAAAAAAGTGTTATCAAGTTTTTCTTTTATTCACCTGTGCACTTTTTTTGTGGAAGCATGTGTCATCACGAATGTAACATTTCATTTTGATATGAAAGTTAATTTTTGAATGATGCACGATTGTTGTTAGCCAATCAAACTAACAGATTCTCATGAAACATACATGTAATGTAATTATTTGGAAATATATGGAGAAATTGATTATTGTCTTCACTAGAACGCATAACTGCTCGAGTGGGTACTGGCTGAGCATTCATCTGGCTTTATTAGTGCTTTCTATCTCATTATCTTTTAGTCTTGTGCTAGCGGCTCGCTTCTCAGTAGTGCAGCCATATAGGAGCCACAGCAAAGGCTGATAAGAAAAAAAGTGTCAAGAGTATTGTGTGATATGTCATTAAAAATCAAACTCAGCGGGTCTGTCTGGTACAAACCAGGTTATGATAATAAATTATTAGCATATTGTTGTCCTGAATCGGCATGTAATGTTTGCCCAACGGTGTCAGAGTTAACCACCTATGCATGTAATATTTGCCATCAGATGTCAGAAGAATTAACCAACTATGCATGTAATATTTGCCCTCAGATGTCAGAGTTAACCAACTTTATCAACTGATCTTACCATAATATGAATGCACTGTCACTATTGTCGAGCCAGAGCGTATCAGCTAGTGTGTTGGTGCCAAAATAACAAATCTACTTTAAATCAGTTGGTTCAACGAAATTTTTTGACCGTGACAACTTGATGCATCATATTTTATAAAAGACAAAATCTTTATACTTTATTCCTGGGACAAAATATAACGTCCCAGATTAAGCTTATAGCAAGGATCCTTGCTTATAGTAATCATGCAGATAAGGTACTGGCGACTACTGAATTCGCTTTATAGAGACACTAACTTCTCATGATTTTGAGAGTACAAATATTTTTCGGTATTACAAGACATGAATTTTATGACCATGTAAATAGATAGCTATATGCTTTAAAATATGGTGAACTATTTTCAAATTAATATTATCGTCCACCTCTTGCAAAGATTTAAATCAAGAGTGCACACTCGCCTGTTTTACTTATCATCGAATTCATGTTGAAATTCTGTAATATAAAGGTTACATATGTTGACCTGAAGTTGTTTACATTTCAATCATTTTGTGTCTGGTGGAGCTGAAACATTTTTTGTAAATCCTTTAAATATGGTAAGTATCAATTTTAAACCAAGCAAACAACTCCTGAAAATCAACATAACAATACAGGATAAAGTCTGCTTTTAAAGGGAGGCAATGCACATAGGAATGTCTATACAACCTGTCTATAAACTTTATTGCCCAAAAGTACATAGATGTTGCCCAGGAGAAAATTTTCAGGTTTAATCATCTCATCACAACTCCAGTAAGTATATTTAGTATGTTTCTATTGAAAATCAACATGTACGTTTTTATCCCATTTGAACCAAAAATACTACACATAGGTACAGTAGTCCTAGGAACATATCTGCAATGTCCATGTCAAGTAAGTACTAAAAAAAAGTTGTCTTCGAAGGAAATGATTAATGTATGGTAGAGCATGCAAGATTCAACTGTTTTTTTTTACACAAAACCTTGAATAATGGTCAAGCAATCTAGAGAAAATTCTCAGAAGTTTTCTGAGTATTGCATAGCATTTTGTAACAGAAGGTCTTTAAAAAACAAAAAAGCACAACACAAAAATTAAAAATGTTTAATACCTCACAACCAAAAATCAAAGCTTTCAGCTAAGATAACATAAATCATAATAAAAAAACAACAAAACAAGGCTTATAACAGGACTTTTCACATAATTAGCACTATTAACAATAAAAAAAATCCATTGTTTTTTTTTTATTTTCTTGTAGGTAGCAGTAAAATTTATAACAAAACACATTTTCCAGGCTTTCAAAAGTTTGAAAGATGTACATGTAGTTAAAAGAAGAATGTAAGAATTAGTAAACGCAACAAAAGTGGCAACCAATAAATTACATATTATTAAAAGTACACAGAACACAACTTACTATATCCAAACAAAAATATTCTTTATGACAATAGCTTTATAGTCCTTTGGCCCAGATAATCTTAAATAAGCTACACATACAGGATATCTGGTACTTCTACATTTACATGATCCCTTTTGTTGTAGTGTATCTAATATTATAACTGATTTGTTCCTGTATATGTACTAAATTTTTATGAAGACAAGATATCAAAGGTAACAAATTCTGAAAATATACACCTATCTTCACTGACTAGTTTCACAAGAGACATATCCATGTTTATTATATTTTCAAGCGACACTACATAATATATCAAAGAACGTTAAAACAAAATAAATAATAAAAACTTATTCTATATATAATGGTTGTAAAACTGAATTATCTCCCTTAACCTAACAAATGTAGTAGTAGCTGAGAAAAGTTTGATGGAAATTTTGTTGGATGTATGGAAGGACAAGGTAAATGCAATATTGTTCCCTTTCTTAGAGATGGGGTATAATAAAATTCATGTTACTTTTGCAAATGTTATGGTTTGCAACAAGCAAAAGGAGTTGCATTGAGTAAAGGTCATAGTATAATGATTGGTTTCCATTTTTTTTAATTATGTTATTATATAACCAATGTTAAATACATATTACAAAAAAGTGATGTTATTCACTTTAAACAATTTATCAATATATTTTAATGAACATTTGGCACAAGTGCTGGCTACAGTATATAAAAATACACCTCAGAATTGTGATATCTCCATTCAAATTTTTAGAAATGAAAAGATGAGAACACAAAACAAATTTTCTTGATCCTGTACTAAATATTTTTCAATTAACATAGTTCAAATTCAACAACCAACTTCATTCAATGCAATTACATAAATAAAACAATAATAATAAATTATAAGTTGATGAAAAAAGCATTATGACAAAACTGAAATAACATAAAACCCTGAATATTTGAGGAAAAAAGTTTACAAGTAGGAATGATATAAAGATGGAATGTCATGGTAACTCATTTCTAGTGATTCTCATTATTTAAGAACTAGCTCAAATTAATCTTGCTCAAATTCATCAAAAAACAGAAGCCTCAGACATTCGGCTGTTATCTGCTCTTTGGTCCGGTTGTTGTCTCTTTGGCATATTCCCCATTTCCATTCTCAATTTTATTTCAAGTTATATCAAGTTATATCAAATAAGTAAAGAGATCATGTTTCCATTTAAAAATTAAAACTCAATCCTTAACATTCAAATGTTGAATTTAATTATTATATACATAAAAAGCTGTCAAGGTCAGAGGCAATCTTCAATCATTTGCAACATATTATCTTGATGTGATGGGACACATGAGCCTAATATCAAAATCTTATGTCAAGGGTAATAAAAAATGATGTCTGGGCAAGATGCTGGCAGGTAATTCATTAACCCACATGAGTCTGTCCATTTAACATTATGGAAATGCAGACATTTCAAATGAAAGACTTAATTCTAAGACCTGAACCCATTGGTGGCCTTGTGCTGGTTTCTGCTCTATGGAGGGGTTGTTCTCTCTTTGACATATTCCCCGTTTCCATTCATTATTCTATTGTTTAAATGTATTTACAAATATCTATTTATGTATTTCTTAAAGCTATGGCACTAGTGGACATTTGGCAAAGATGATAAATATAAATCAAAATGATAATAACAATATATTATATAGTCAGTAAAAAAATATATATTTTTTTATATTTTCTATCCACAAGATGCCTTAATCTTCTACAAAAATGTTTGGTACATTATGACATAAATTATACATTTTCTGTTTCTGGCATAATGAGTTCTGGTTTCTGTTGATCCAAAATTCATCATTGCAAATAAAGCAGTGTTTTTAAGGATATTCCATCATATGAGGAACTGATTTTTTAACACAAGAAAAGGTGTAAATGGACTGTACTACAATCAACTTGTCTTTTCAAGGCAAAGGTTTTAATAAATAAATAAATATAAAAACAAAATTCAGACAATAATGTGTGGCTGAGTTACTGGGTACATATTTATAATTCATTCACCTTGTAAGATTAAAATTCCTCACAGTAATCTTTAAATGCAGTACACATATGACTTAAATGCATCATGATTTCAAAATTTGTATAAAATATCAAAAAGGCTGTTGATGTAGCAATACAGGGATTGATACACCATGATTTTTTTAAAGAATGATGTTAATTCTTCTTGTTAAAGAGCCGTCTCATCATTCGCTCTGTTTTCTGTGCCTCTTCTTCATCCCCCATCATCTTCTGTGCATGTCTTAACATGTTATAAAATCCTTGCTGCTTAGGGCTTAGTTCTATTCCCTGAAATAAAAGAAGATTTCAGTATATTTATAAAAGCCCGATTAAAAGGGTCAACTTGTATAGAAATATGGTCATCCCTGGACTTTTTCATTCCTACCATCCTATTGTTAGAATTTAGTACCATCCTATTGTTAGAATTTAGTACAAACAAACACATATTTTATAGGATACAAATTTGGACAAAAGAATGCTTTTCTAGAGTGGATCATGTTTGGTAAATGCTATGCTCTCTAGATATTTTTTTACTACTTATATACTTAAAAGGATAGTCACATTTTGGGAGCTACAAAAAGCCAAATTCTCCCAATTCTTCCCACTTTCCCTGTGGCAGAATTATCTTTATCTGTTCGTGTCCGATTCTCTTCCATTTTTGTATTGTTTTCATACTGTAAGTTTGCCTCGTGTTCTATTTTAATTATATATGAAATATTTGCTACTGGACACAAAATGATCAACAGCTGTACAGTATTATATGTGACTTTGAATCTTGTCCATTAAACCATTGTTAACTTTGTTTCAATTGTAATTGCATTTGTATACAAACCTTCTGGAAATGTTTGATAGCATCCTCAGGACGTTTATGATTCACCAGGAAGGAGCCATATTGAGCATGAACATCCCAGAGGTTAGGATTTAATTCAATAGCTTTTTTATAGGAATTTTCTGCTTCTTCTATCTTGTCTAGCTAAAAATATATCAAATGCCAATATAAAGTTAACTGAACAATCTTGACTATACTCTGGAATGAAAGAATCATTATAAAATACAAAGATTAACCAAAACAAAAGGTATACACAATTATTTCCAGAAAAAAAACTATTCTAGAATACTGTAAAATTAGTGAAGTTCAACCAAAGCACCAAGAAAAAAATTACTTACAGCAAGATGAGATATGGTTTAATCACAAAACAAAACCCCCCAAAACACAATGAACATTGTCCACATACATAAATATTACCTTGTTCAATAAATCTGCTTTATTTAAATAAGCCAGGACAAAATATGGATCTTTATCTATTGCTTTCTGTGTTAATTCTAAACCTTTCTCTGGATGGCCGTGCTCTCCATATGTTTGACCTAGTTTCATCATAACCTCTGTACTTTCTGACCAAAAAATGAAACAAGAAATTATAAGGTATTAATTAGCATCAAATTAGTCACATAAAAGGTTTCTGCATATTTAAAATAGTATGACATTGTTGTGGAATCAATGGTTATACAACATTCACATCTAAAATTCAAAAATCTTACAATTTATTTAATCCACTGATGTTTTCAAAAATTTGATTTGTAATAGTTTTAAAGGTGCATTAGTAACAAATTAGTTTAAGATTTTTAGTTTTTGTTTCAGACATTTATAAAAGCGGAATATATAAATAATATTTCGCTGTAAACAGTCAGTTTGGTTTAATTTTGTCAAAACAAGCTAAACATATTGCTGATGTATTTATTATTGGCTTGCAAGTTGAATCTGTATTCATGCAACCCTTAATAAGACCCTTAGTGGAGATAAGAATATCAACATTGAAAAGTCAAACAAGGAAGTTAATGTCCTTTAAAACACATATCATGATTTCATCAAATATAAATAAAGAACAATTTTCCAATGTTTCCCACTCATACACATATTATATCTGTCAAAGGGTGATAACTCAAAATTTGTTTTTCTTTTTTAAAATATACGCTACAAGAAATATAGGCATGAGATAGCTAACTGTTATTTTCCATATAATTTCTAATTCCAAGGGGATTCAAACTCCTGTACAAATACTTGATCAGCACTGATTTATGAACTCTTCCAATATCAGGTTGCTGATATAAACCTTTGATATAAATTTCATAAAAATTTGAAAGGAAATGTAGGTGTAAGAGTGCTTACAATGCAATGTTCAATATAAATAACATTTGAAAAGGAAATTATTCCTGTAAAAGTAGTTGATTGGCACAAATTTTTTAACTCTTCCAAGACATTACTGTTTAAACCTTAGATATTATGTAATAAAAATCAGAAAAATGTAGACAGATCATTCATAATGAATTTTCCTATAGAATTAAAATTTCCAAGGGACATATCTCTTGCTAATATAATTGATCAGTGCTGATTTTCAAATTCATCCTTGACATTGCTGATTTTCAAATTCATCCTAGACATTGCTGATATAAACCTTTGACATAATTTTCATAAAGGTTTTAGTAACTAAGGGAATATCTCTTAAAAAGTAAATCTCAAAATCATCCAAATCAAAACTCATACCACATCTTATTTATACATATTGACCTGTATTTTATAGTCTATGGTCAAAAGATTTGATCAAGTGGAACTTTAAATTCCCTCCAAGAATAAAAAAAAAAACATTTTTGAGGTAACTAGAGGCAAAACTCTTGAACCCATCAAAATCAAACTTGGCCATGAGTTGGTGTTCATATTTCAAAAAATCTGGTCAAGTGGTAATGTTATTTTTATCCAGAAACCATAATTACCAATTTTAAGGTAACTTACTAAGGGCATAACTATTGAACAGTAAAAGTCAAAACAATCAAAATCAATCATGATCTTTATTTTATGGTCCATATCATTGTGTTTCACAAGTTTCAAAAGATTTGGTCAAGCAGTGTTATGTTATTCTTACAGACCGACAGACATGTGCATCACTACATACACCCCTTTTCTCCAGGCAGGGGTATAGATATCCATATTCTTACAGACAGACATGTGCATCACTACATACACCCCTTTTCTCCCGGCAGGGGTATAGATATCCATATTCTTACAGACAGACATGTGCATCACTACATACACCCCTTTTCTCCCGGCAGGGGTATAGATATCCATATTCTTACAGACAGACATGTGCATCACTACATACACCCCTTTTCTCCAGGCAGAGGTATAGATATCCATGTTCTTACAGACAGACATGTGCATCACTACATACACCCCTTTTCTCCAGGCAGAGGTATAGATATCCATATTCTTACAGACAGACATGTGCATCACTACATACACCCCTTTTCTCCCAGCAGGGGTATAGATATCCATATTCTTACAGACAGACATGTGTATCACTACATACACCCCTTTTCTCCAGGCAGAGGTATAGATATCCATATTCTTACAGACAGACATGTGTATCACTACATACACCCCTTTTCTCCAGGCAGAGGTATAGATATCCATATTCTTACAGACAGACATGTGCATCACTACATACACCCCTTTTCTCCAGGCAGGGGTATAGATATCCATATTCTTACAGACAGACATGTGCATCACTACATACACCCCTTTTCTCCAGGCAGGGATATAGATATCTATATTCTTACAGACAGACATATGCATCACTACATACACCCCTTTTCTCCCGGCAGGGGTATAGATATCTATATTCTTACAGACAGACATGTGCATCACTACATACACCCCTTTTCTCCAGGTAGGGGTATAGATATCCATATTCTTACAGACAGACATGTGCATCACTACATACACCCCTTTTCTCCAGGCAGGGGTATAGATATCCATATTCTTAGTGAACTTTGGATACTCTTTCACACAGGTGTTCGCCCCCATCAATTTTTAAAACTTAATTCTACTATTGTAAGAATAAACAAACCTAAATGTATAAAAAATATAAATACCTGGTAGTAATTTATGAAGTTCCTCATAAAGATGAAGTATTTCTGTATGAGTATCTGCCTTTTCTTTTTCAGACAGTTTACCATTCAAACTGTTCCTTCTGTTCAGTTCTGTCAAATTCAATTTGTATTTTGTAATTCTTGATATAATTGTTATAAACACTATAAGACCATCTAAATTACATGTCTATAAAATGAGGATATTTCATATAAAAAAACAGTACCATTTGGATTTAAACATGGCAATCCTTCAGTCTGTTTGTATTGGTCCATACATAACATGTTACTTGCATCCTTACTTGTCATTGCATGATTGTCTCTTAATATTCCTTTCACCTGTGACTCGTGGAATACAAGTATACATACACAAAAAGTTAAAATCAGTCTGAGACATGAATCACAATATACTGAGGATTCATTTATATCAGAGGCAGATTCAGGGGGATGCCAAGCCCACCCCCTAATGGAATGCACCCTCCCTTTAAAACTCATGAATCTGCTTCTGCAACTGTATATCTGTGGGTGCCAACTTTTGTATGTTTTAAGGAGAAATTGTTTTTTCATGGATATTTGATTTCTTGGTTTGTACAAATTCTATTTACAAATCCTTTTACACTAAAATACATGATTTACCTTTACCTACAAAGCAGAAAAATTAGTACCCTCATGAATAAAAATATGAATAAATTGCTTGAAATGAAAAGCAAAACAATGAATAACATAAAAATTTCAGTAATAACTTAAATTCATACATGCATTAAATTGAGAAAGGTATATTATAATGATATGTCCAATTCTACATCCAAATTGAACATTCGATCCTCGTCATTTAGACAACTTTTACACATTCGAACTTGTATTTCTATATCCAATAAATAAGATCTTAGCTTACTGAAGTAGTAATGAAAGAATATCATTTAGCCTATGCATGACCTAAAATACACCATACTGCAAGGAAGGAAAGCATCATAGGATCTATTGATTAAAATGCTGTACTAATAACTGCTACTAAATATAAAATTCTGAAAAGAGATGGGAGATTACTATCAAAAGGAAGATTGTAAAAAGTAAACTGACCCTAATAGAAGATGTTTGTTCATATTAATTGTAAAGAGGTTGATAAATACATGAATGACCAACCTAATAAGCTTCTTTTTACTATATGTAAAAGTTACCACAGTGACTTGGGGCAATTGCATAACTTAAAATGAACTCACCAAATATAAAATGTAGAGTATGATGCTTTTAATGCTCAAGAAATATTTTATAAAATTAGACCATGAATTTTATTAAAAAAACTATTCTACTGACTTTATCAAGGAACTGAAATGGTGATGCCAATATGGATATGATCATTATATAAGCAAACTGGTTAAAAATTAGGAAATAAAATGGAGTATTATTATCTAGCAGGAGAAGGTAAAGGAAATAACAATTTCATCTATCATGTCTAACTCTGGGAAATACGAATTATTCCTATCCCATGCAAACAAATTCAAATTCAAACCTACTGTTCACTGAAATAAAAAAGAATTTTAAAACTGGAGGACTAGTCCAACTTGGTTTTATCCTGCAATTGACCTTTCTACTATACAAATACAGGTGTACAGATAGGACGTCAGCCGTGCTTTTCTCTCTGTTCCTAAAGCTCGGCAAATAAATTTGCTTTAATATATTTTCCTACACTGTACAGATATTGTATATGTATCCAAATACATATTTCCATCTCCATCTCTTTTTTTCCTTTCACCAATTTTTTCAGTACAAAAACTTTCTAGAGTTATCTCCCATTTAACACTGATTTCCCATAAAAAAAGTGTCATATAATTTTCAATTTACCAATTCAATCAGTGGACATTGCTTGTGCAAAATTTTCTGTCTTATTTTATATTTAAGCTTAGTAAAAAGACCAACCTTCATAAACTAATGTTTCATGTTTAGTAGAAGCTTTCTTTCTCTGTATACCAATAGCCACTGTATCACCCATATTTATTGTACCATGGTAAGTCCCCTCTGGCTGTCAACAATTAAAATGCAGTATATATGATTATAAAGAAATTAAAGCTCAAAGCAATCTCAGCTAAAAACTTGGAATTTATATAATACATAAACTTAGAAGACTAAATAACTTTCAATTTAGGCAGCATAAAATAAATGGAAAGTAATTCATTGGATTGGTGAAATCCTTAAAATTCAAATTCTAGAAAATCGTTATATTCAAGTTCTTTTTAGAAGGAACAAGGATTAAGAAATAACGAAATGCGTTGTACTGTAAACCAACGTATTTTCCTTGGATCCCTTTTTATTTTTAAGCTATGTCTAGCCGACTTCTCTGCTATTTAATTTCACAACTTCTAATTTTGTTTGCATATTCATATAGATATATCTATATTTGCGTTATTTCTCTCCTTGCTATCATGGTGAAAATTAGTTGGATTAAGAAACACAGCAACACAGCGGGACACTATCATATGTTATTGCTATCACTGAAACACATCACCAAATAAAAACTAGACAAAGTGATGCCCCGCACTCCACTCTGAAGTAACTGTATTATAACAAAGTCAATGTAGGACTTTCTTTGAGATATTATTGTGTCTGGGAGACACAAAAGATGCCCCCGCAGATGCAAAGTGTTATTTTAAAATACTACTTTTGCTGTTAATCACAGGCTCAACAAAAATGAGGAAAAAAATTAATAAAAATATTCCTCTCTATACTATCTTTTGATTGTAAGTAGCTTCTGTCCAAGTTTGGTAAAAATCCAGGATAGTTTATGAATCTAATAAATGTTTTAAAATAAAAACTTAAACTGTAGACTGTTATGTAATGTTAACTGGAAGACAAGAGTGCACACGCTGAAATGTCTCGCCTTCTTTACTAATCATTGATATTATGTTGATAGTCCTAAATATAAAGCTTTATTACAACTGTCACATAAACTTAACATTAACCAAGTAAACTAAACATTGACCAATGAACCATGAAAATGAGGTCAAGGTCAGATGAACCATGCTAGGCAGGCATGTACAGCTAACAATTCTTCCATACAACAAATATAGTTGACCTATTGCTTATAGTTTAAGAAAAACAGACGAAAACACAAAAACTTAACACTGAGCAATGAACCTTGAAAATGAGGTCAAGGTCAAATAAAACCTGCGTGACTGACATATAGATCATAAAATATTTCCATACACCAAATATAGTTGAACTATTGCATATAGTATTAGAAAAAAAGACCAAAACTCAAAAACTTAACTTTGACCACTGAACCATGAAAATGAGGTCAAGGTAAGATGACACCTGCCAGCTAGACATGTACACCTTACAATCATTCCATACACCAAATATAGCTGACCTATTGCATGCAGTATTAGAAAAAAAGACCAAAACTCAAAAACTTAACTTTGACCACTGAACCATGAAAATGAGGTCAAGGTCAGATGACACCTGCCAGCTAGACATGTACACCTTACAATCATTCCATACACCAAATATAGTAGACCTATTGCATACAGTATAAGAAAAACAGACCAAAACACAAAAACTTAACTATAACCACTGAACCATGAAAATGAGGTCAAGGTCAGATGACACCTGCCAGTTGGACATGTACACCTTACAGTCCTTCCATACACCGAATATACTAGACCTATTGCTTATAGTATCTGAGATATGGACTTGACCACGAAAACTTAACCTTGTTCACTGATCCATGAAATGAGGTCGAGGTCAAGTGAAAACTGTCTGACGGGCATGAGGACCTTGCAAGGTACGAACATACCAAATATAGTTATCCTATTACTTATAATAAGAGAGAATTTAACATTACAAAAAATCTGAACTCTTTTTTCAAGTAGTCACTGAACCATGAAAATGAGGTCAAGGACATTGGACATGTGACTGATGGAAACTTCGTAACATGAGGCATCCATATACAAAGTATGAAGCATCCAGGTCTTCCATCTTCTAAAATATAAAGCTTTTAAGAAGTTAGCTAACGCCGCCGCCGTAGCCGCCGCCGCCGCCGGATCGCTATCCCTATGTCGAGCTTTCTGCGACAAAAGTCGCAGGCTCGACAAAAAACTAAGTCCATTTATAAGTAAAATACGGAAAAAATGGAACAAAATTTTAACAAAATTTCCTTTTAGATACTATCTTATGATCACAAACAAACTTCTTTCCAAGTTTGGTACAAATCCAGGATAGTTTAAGAAAGTTATTAAAATTTCAAAAACTTTAACCACAGAGTGAATGTAATGTTTCCTGGCAGAAAAACTAAGTCCATTTAAAAGTAAAATACGAAAAAAATGGAATTTTTTTTTTACAAAATTTACTCCTGGAAACTATCTTATGATCACAAACAAACTTCTTTACGTTTGGTACAAATCCAGGATGGTTTAAGAAAGTTATTAAAATTTCAAAAACTTTAACCACAGAGTGAATGTAATGTTTCCTGGCAGAAAAACTAAGTCCATTTATAAGTAAAATACGGAAAAAATGGAATTTTTTTTTTACAAAATTTACTCCTGGAAACTATCTTATGATCACAAACAAACTTCTTTCCAAGTTTGGTACAAATCCAGGATAGTTTAAGAAAGTTATTAAAATTTCAAAAACTTTAACCACAGAGTGAATGTAATGTTTCCTGGCAGAAAAACTAAGTCCATTTATAAGTAAAATACGGAAAAAATGGAATTTTTTTTTACAAAATTTACTTTTGAATATTATCTTATGATCATAAACAAGCTTCTGTCCAAGTTTGGTAGAAATCCAGGGTAGTTTAAGAAAGTTATTAAAATTTCAAAAACTTTAACCACAGAGTGAATATTTGTGGACGCCGCCGCCGACGACGGAATGTAGGATCGCTATGTCTCGCTTTTTCGACAAAAGTCGAAGGCTCGACAAAAAGGACAAAGTCCAACCATCTCCCAAAAGAGAAAATATTAATAAAAATCAAAACCCTGACCATATGCTCACATTCAATGTATGTACAAACAGCCAGCAAAGGGAAAACTTCCTCCTAGCATTCAAACTGTAGGAGGAGTTATCTGGAAACGCTATGCACCTCTTATGCAAGTAATTACACCAAAAAATGACAAAGTTCAACTATCTCCCAAAAGAGCAAATATTTATAAAAATCAAAACCCTGACCACATGGATACCTTCAATATATGTACAAACAGCCAGCAAAGTGAAAACTTCCTAGCATTCAAACTGTAGGAGTTATCAGGAATAACTATATACCCATAATGGGATGGACGGACGGAAGGACGGACAGGGGTAAAACAATATGCCCCCAACTTTTTGTTGTGGGGGCATAAAAAACCTGATACATGAACCTTGACCTTGATTATATATATTACATCTATTTGAGATCAAAGATTATCAAGAATAAAATTTGGACCATAAAGATATAGCCAAATAAATATTTATAAAATATATTTTGTTTTATTTGTGTTGAGAGAACCAGATAATGAATTTGACATAGACCAAACTATTTTAAGATAACTATAATATGTACCAAGTAAAGAATTTCTCCAGCTTTCTGAACACATTCTATTGGCTTTTCTGATTCTGGCAGTAAAGGATACACCTTCTCAAACCATTCAATTTGTGTAAAACCTGGGTAGACTCCTTAAATAAAAGTAACTAAAAGTTAAACATATATTCATAAACACCCTGTAAGTATATCAATTAAAATAAATCCCATATAGTGCTTGCCAATTCAATTTTCACTTAATTCAAATTGTACTTAGACCAAAGGTTACACATGATCTAAAAACAGTTACCTATTCTGGTGTATACAGATAACAAAATGAATCCATTCCAGTATCAAACAAGTTGATCTGTGAGCTTTTGCTCACAAATGATATCCCTGCTATAAGTATTTATAAAAATTGGAAGTTGATAAGCAATGGATGTGAAAATGCATCACTTAAGCATGCTCACATGAAGTCAGATTACAAATTTCAGAAAGCCCTGATTTTGAGTTCCTAAGAAAAATGTGAAGACTATTTCCATTTCATACATTGCCATAATGTGTGAGAATATATAAGTATTTGGTAAACAGAATGTTGTTAAGTGATGAATCTGAAAATATCACCAGGCATATCATGCTCACATAAAGATTGATACCAAACTTCAGGAAGCTATGGATAATAGTTCCTGAGAAAATGTGATAACATTTTATACATTGCCCTTATCCAATGTGTAAGAATACATAAAAAAAACAAGAAATGATTGTAACAGGATGCTGTTACGAAGTCTCCCAAACGAAGCTCCCACAATTCGTAATTCCCATTAGTGATGCCTGGGGACTAACCCTGTATATCATTCAAATCATCTTGGCATGACAAACCAGAATATATATGGTTTAGGGGTGGGGATCTCAACCATTAACAAGATACTAGAACATTGGGGGTGGGGGGAACCCCTGGGGACTGACCCTATACGTCATTCAAATGTTCGAGACATGATGAACAGGAATATATATGGTTTAGGGGTGGGGATCTCAACCATTTACAAGATATTAGAACATTGGGGGTTGGGGGAACCCCTGGGGACTGACCGTATAAGTCATTCAAATGTTCGAGACATGATGAACAGGAATATATATGGTTTAGGGGTGGGGATCTCGACAATTTACAAGATATTAGAACTTTCTAAAATGGCAGGGGGTCAGGATGACCCCTAGGGACTAACCCTATATATCATTCAAACTATCTTGGTATGACAAACCAGAATATATATGGTTTAGGGGTGGGGATCTTGACCACTTACAAGATATTAGAACTTTCTTAAATGGCAGGGGGTGGGGGTGACCTCTGGGGACTAACCCTGTATATCATTCAAACCATCTTCGCATGACAAACCAGAATATATATGGTTTAGGGGTGGGGATCTTGACCACTTACAAGATATTAGAACATTCTTAAATGGCCTGGGGTGGTGGTGACCCCTGGGGACTTACCCTGTATTTCATTTGATGTGCTTTATCATGACAAACCAGAATATATATGGTTTAGGGGTGGGGATCTCGACCATTTACAAGATATTAGAACTTTCTCAAATGGCAGGGGGTCGGGATGACCCCTGGGGACTAACCCTGTATTTCATTTGATGTGCTTTATCATGACAAACCAGAATATATATGGTTTAGGGGTGGGGATCTTGACCACTTAAAAGATATTAGAACTTTCTTAAATGTCAGGGGGTGGGGGTGACCCCTGGGGACTAACCCTGTCTTTCATTTGATGTGCTTTATCATGACAAACCAGAATATATATGGTTTAGGGGTGGGGATCTTGACCACTTAAAAGATATTAGAACTTTCTTAAATGTCAGGGGGTGGGGGTGACCCCTGGGGACTAACCCTGTCTTTCATTTGATGTGCTTTATCATGACAAACCAGAATATATATGGTTTAGGGGTGGGGATCTCAACCATTTACAAGATATTAGAATTTTCTCAAATGGCAGGGGGTCGGGATGACCCTTGGGGACTTACCCTGTATATCATTCAAACCATCTTAGCATGACAAACCAGAATATATATGGTTTAGGGGTGGGGATCTCGACCATTTACAAGATATTAGAACTTTCTTAAATGGCAGGGGGTGGGGGTGACCCCTGGGGACTAACCCTGTATTTCATTTAATGTGCTTTACCATTTAGAACATTTTCAATTAAAAAGATTGTGTCTATCACAAATGGTTTTCAATTTATAATCATTTGAAAATTTAAAAAAATAAAATCCCATATAGTTCTATAGTAAAACCCTCCTTTGTTTTTGCCCCCCCCCCCAAAGTACCCCTTTATAAACCCCATTGCACAAACAAAACCCTGATTGCACCACTAGACATGTTAGTCTAACATATTGTGAAACCCTAAGTTAATCTGACAAGTGGTTTTGGAGAACGGGTGCGGACAAGTTCAAATTTAAAAGCGGCGGAAGAAGAAGAAGAAGAATAATTATAATAATAAGAACTGAGCAAAACCAATAAGTCTTCCCAAACTTCGTTTGGGAGACTTAATTATTAAGAAGATATGTTATATATTTCCATATCAATGCTCTCAGAATGCAACCAAAAAAGTATCAAGAAATACATGAAATATTGAGATATTGTAGTGTTACATGTTGAATACAAGTTAAGGTGTTGAGACATACCTCCCGGAGGTGTATGGTTTACAGGATATAAAAACCATCTTTTTTCTCCATAGATCACACCATTCCAAGCATCAGCATGCTTATGGAAGCTTACACCACTACTAGAGGCTCCCAGGAAAAATATACTATCATCTCGCCCATCCTTAAAAATACATTCATTTGTGATCACCTAGATACTTTGTTTCAAACCTTTCATAACTTTATTGCCTCTCATTTTCTTAAAATCTTGTTTGGTTCTATGGTATAATTCTATATGTTTTATGTTCAGACATTGAAAACCATTAGGACCAACTAAAGTACGAATTGTACCTGTATTAATATATTGTTGAAATTTTGAATGTGACCCAAAACATGCAGTTTAAAATGTTGGGTTATTCCCCCTTAAATCACAACTTTGATTTGATATTTATTTAGTCAATAGTGTACCATACAAACTTAATGAGTAACAAAATCTGACCTTTGAAGTCAACTTCTGGATTATACAAAATAATTATTCTCAAATATAACTTTTGTTTTGGTGAAATACATATTTTATGTGGAGGTACTTTTACAGAATATTGACTTTTTTTACAATTGTTATAAAAAAAATCATTTTTTTTTCAATCAGTTGTAACCTATCTTTACTGTTAAGACTTACATTCATAAAAGGCAAGAAAGTATTGCAACAGTTTTATTTCATTTGGACACAGATAGTCTCAGTTAGAACTAAATACCTAGCCAACATGTAAATTATTGTAGCAATGGCATAAAGCCAAATCATGCCACCTTTTATTGTATTGTCATATTTAGTACATTATTAAGAAAGTTAAAATATGCATCAGAAAATTAACATTAATGACAAGTATGAATAAACCAATACGTTTGGACAAAACTGCCATAAATTTACCCGTGCCTACAGTAGATATATAATCCACTTATACATATAAGGTATACAATGAAGACAAATCAATGCATTTTATTTTCTCCTTCTTGTGAATCAAACAAAGTATGTTTACTTTTATTCTATAAATGGCCATTCGTCTCTGTTTACTCAGACAGTTTTATTTACATTTAATTCAAAATATTTTACTTCTTTTGTGTTGTTAGTAGATTTGAGTGGTTGTAAAATATTTTGAAGTTGCATTGGTAATTATACTGTACCTTTATTTCAAAATATTTTGGTGGTTTTAATGTTGTTGGAAGACTTGAATCATTGTAAAACATTCTGTCAAAAATGTACCTGCAATTAAATTGAACAATTAGTATTAATACGTAACCAGCACTTGGAGTTTAATGTTAGAGTATTTGTAGAAGTAAATTGAGATGTACAATTAACTTTTTGATGACTATCCTGAAAGAATATAGCATGTCTTTATTGTTCTCTTGATTAGAAAACCAATAAACAATAATTATAATAAATACTTCATGATAAAACCAAACAATCAAACACTTCAATATAAATCACTTTTCCATTTGATAAATTTTAATCAGGATCAAACAATCTAACATTTAAACAATGTGGAATTGAGCTTATGTATCACTTTAAAATAGTATAGTGGGTAGTTAATGTAATATCAAATGTCAATTACCTATCAAAACTCCCTAAAAATAAAACTAGTTAGAAAAAGACAATGTGTCAATAAGACAATATGCCCAGTGTCCTATCACACTATAACATTTCAAGGTTCAGTGAACTGTGAAATCTAGGTCAAAGACCTAATTTGGCATATATGTTCAACTGTTCCTATCAACATGAACAATAGTACTAAGTTTCAAGTTGATATGACCACAACTTCATGGTAAAATACCTTACCTAAAAACTTTAACCTGATCCATATTAACACATTTCCATGTGTGGTCCAACCCCTAATTTGGCATATATTTTAAAAAGTTATAAAGAACATAAGTACTATAAAGTTTCAAGTTTAGTTGACCGCACATTTATGGTTAACTTAATAATTCAGTTATGTTAAATGAAAAAAAAAGAAGAAATATAAGATTTTTTTCTTCCAGCATCATAATAGTTGACTAGGAACAATATATCTTTTAACACTTAATTGTTAGAATCTAACTTTTCTAAAGCAATGTGTCATCTCTGACATCATATTGTTTCTTATGTTATTGTAATCTGTATACATGGAAGGATTAAAAAGTAACTTTATTCAAAAGATTTTTGTAACAAATACAGTAGATTTTTCATGGCTAATATTCAGTATGAAAAAAAAGAGATTTAGTGTTAAAAGGTCAATGAGAAGGCAACACAGAACAAAAATCCATAAGTCACATGTATGGCATATTTTACATTATCCTACATGTTCAGGACAGGACATGACTGCAAATTTATACATAAAGTAAAACAAAACAAAGGCCCTGTAACATAATGTTAGACAGTATATACCATATATACCCTGGGTTTCAGTTGATTTTAACACTGGCATATAAGGCAGTCATTCAGAAACAGAACTATGGCTTTGTTTTAGGTTTTCACAAAGCCATCTACTAATACTCACAATGGTTCTCCATGGTCATCTTTAGACCTTATCAACTGGTCTACAAACTTAGTAAATGAACTCTCCACATTCCCATTACCACCTCTCCTGACAATTTCTAGTGAGTTTCCTGAGTAAACTAGCCAGTCACCATATTCTTTTTTCAAGCTTTCCACTGACCATGATTCTGGTGTTGTCCAACCTGATGCATCATTGTCAAATGAAACTATGAGAGGTTTTTTAAACCTGAAGTCTTTCTCAAATTCTGCACTGGTGAAGTATTTTGCATTTTTACGGGTAACTGTACACTTCGATGAACCATACTTTTGAAGCACATTGACTGAAGCTAATCGCCATCCCCCTTTTGTGGATATTGAAGGAGAGTCTGAATTTGGCAAGGTTTTAGGCAATAAGTCATTGGTATAGACAACAAAAATGGATAAAAAGATGATGGATACAGCTCCTATAGACAATGCAGTGGAAGACAATCTACTTTGTGATGGAGACTCTGGTGTAGACTCTTCTTTGTTATTTTGTGCTGAACCATTCTTTACATGTTTGGTCTTTCTGTTTTTCATACTACCAAGATACCAATATGTACTGAAAAATAAAAATCCATATTATTTCAGATGAATTTTTGACTAAAGCTAAGATTGGATTGAATTAGTATTTAATATATATCATTTTTTTTTAAATCACTACAAGAAAACATATATTGTTCCTCAGATCAAATTGCATCTAGTAATTAATGTTGCAACTACTATCAGTATTTTAGTATTCCTGGTATAATTTTTAGTGAGGGGATATAGTAATTTATCTTACCTCCTATACATTTCTAGGAATATCATTGGTTAAAAGCAACCGCACTTTCATAATTATAACATGACGATTTTAGCAGAATTAACCACAGTCCAATCAAATTTTGTATGAAGGCTACAAATATGATATTAAATTAGATTTAGATTAAAGTGATGAACCAAATATTTTTGGGGAAAATATGGATTTCATTATTTGTGTTTTGCTTAGACTATTTTTTAGTAAAATTACAAGATTTCAATAATTTTTTTAAGAAGGGAGAAATTGATAAATATCTCAGTTGAGCTTTTAGATGGAGAAATTAAGGTTGTTTAGGTGGAGAACCAAGTCTAATAATAAGTGTAATAATGATGTATACAATTTATTTTCTATGAATGTAGTAAATATGAATTTTGTGTATGATTCAAATCTAAGATAGGACCATTTCACCAATTAATTTTGGTGAAAATCTGTATTCCTGTTGAAAAAAGAAGGGTTTGAGAATTTCTTCAATTTTCCAGTAGCCTGAAAATGAATGAAAGCAATTAATTCTAAAAACAACAGTCGAAAAATCTTGGAATGCTATCTGCTAAATTGAAATTTATCAACAATTGACTGTTTTCTTATTTTCAACATTTACATTGCTGTATATTGACAGAATATTAAATAAGATTATATGCACAGAGACCCATGGTCCTGAGAGTTTCAAGCATATTTCATTTCCCTAAAATTCACTTCTTTATAACAATTAAATTTTAAGTTGGTCGAAATAGTTACAGAAAGTTAAAAGAATGGGGTGTTACAAATTGAGTTTCTTCAGTAAATTCTACTTTTTGAAGCAAGATTTAACTGAAATTAAATTACTGTCACAATAAAGTGTGGTTTTGTCATAATGGTTGGAGTCCCGGGTTTATCATTCATGTGGTTTACCGAAATAGAGTTATTGTTTTATTAAAAATATACAATAAAAAATAACTTTATAATAACATCAAAATTTTTAAGAAAGTAGATTTACCTGAACAATGGCTTGTTAACCTATGTTAAATATGTAAATTCTTGTAAATATATATTTCACTTGTCAAAATTATTCCAGGTAACCCATACTTGATGTATATCACATTGCCGATAGCAATGATTATTTTTTTCCCCCTGATATCAACCTGATTAATAGGGACAATTAACTGTCTTATAATTTGTGTACATGATCTAAAATTCTAAAGTAAAACATTCAAATCACTAAATCTCCTATATAAATAATAGAATTTTATACTAATCATCTCTCAACCAATATAACATTGTAATAAAGCATATATAAACAGAATTTAAAATAGTAAAAAATTAACCAGAAATTAAATAAAGATAAGAGAGGTAAATAATGGACTGTTATTGATATATGAGCTGCATCGGATAGAAATAGACCTTATGCAAATGAATAGCAATTCTTCAGTTAACTTATTTTGGGTTAAAAAATCTCTATGCAAAGTCTGTGACTGTTTAAAAAATTGAGTTGATGTAAGAAAACAGACCAAAATTCATCTTTTATTTCGTATTTGAATGTTCTAAAATCAATCAAGTCTTATACAAGTACATGTATATGGGCACTTGCATAAGGTCGATTTCTATCAGACACAGCTCAAACTATTCACTTTTGAACAAAATAATATAAACAATCCTACCTTTCAATCTAAAATAAAGAAGAAATAATAACTTAGTTTCTGTACTATCTAAAAAATTGTGTATAGTAATAAACATTGAGTGTTGTTCTTTTTTCGAGAGCTTCTTAAGTCTCTAGGTTATATTAGCCATCTACACAGAGGTAAAGTAATCACAACAGTACTGTCTTTTAATGTAATATTTACATAAATAATTATGATGAGGTAATACCATGCATTACATCTGGACATTGTTGGTATACTATGAGGATTACGAGGAGGATTATTACTGTGAGGCTTCATTGGAGGATTATTACTGTGAGGCTTCATTGGAGGATTATTACTGTGAGGCTTCATTGGAGGATAAGGTAACAATAATGATTTTTTTTCCCCTTAATTTTTCAAGGGGAATAATTTCTGAAATTTGAGGGCAAAATTACTATATGTTTGAAAGTGGTAATATCCTTGTTATCTAAGTTGTTACAGTCTAAAAATCATCACTTTATGGCATAAATACAAAACGTTTTAAAAAGAATTTTTGGAAGCTACCTTAACATGATTTATGAATTCTCCTTTGTTAAGCTGTCAACTGAAACTGATTTTGAAACCAAATATTCTAGATCTTATAATTTGCTAAAAAGACCTTTTGTGACTTTTTTCAAAGTGTTATTATGCTTTACAATAATTTTACACAAAATGTTTCACTATAGACAAACATGAATAAAAAAAAGAGGACAAGGAATTCAACTGACAAAAAATATGAATCTTTGCTCCATGTTAAACCTTAGAATAAGTATACAAAATCTTTATGATCTTCCAATTATATATATGAAACTTCTAGTTTTATTTTGAAACCTTTAAGTTCATCAATTTGCTTTTTTTAGAGACTCAATAAAAAAACAAACAAGTACTTGGAATTGCTCAATAATGATATGCCCTGCTTTAAGTTTTTGGTAAACAGGGAGTCGAAAAGCCATGCCCTAACGACAGTCTGCACCAACATTTTTTCCAACTACTAGTCCAAAGACCAATATTCCAGCATTGTTCTTATTTGTCTAAACAAAATTTTGCAAATACTTACTAGTCTGAATAAAATTTTACTAGTCTGGGACATCGAACTAGTGGCTAACGGAGCATAATGCCATGCAGGCGAAAGCACATCACTGCAGGTATAGCATGCTCACATGATATTTGACTTCAAATTTTAGAAAGCCCTGATTTGTAGCTCCCAATAAAAAGACATGAACATTTTATATGTATAAGTATGTGGTAAACAGGAAGTTGCTAGAGCCTAGATGAGTGATAAATCTGAAAATGCATCACAGGGTATATCATGATCACATGAAAGATTCATAACAAATACCGGAAAGCTCTGGTTGTAATTCTCAAGATAGATGTGACAAGACTTTAATGAGGGGGACCATCCAACCAACAAAGACATAAACCAGCAATATACCGGTATATCATTAGGGGTGGTGTTATAAAAAGTAAAATCAATGACAATAGGTGAATATTAATCTTATTATTCTCTAATTTGTAGCTAAGTGTCTGGTCTGAAAGTCTTATTGTAGAAATCTCCCAAATTTTAGTCAATATTGGGAGGATTTAAAAAGATTTTGAGACAGTTGCTATCATTTTATGTATTGATAACAGTAGCTATTACTGGCCTTTTTACCAGGTGAGAAAAAACAGGATATTCATTCCTTTAAGATTAACTTTAATAAAAGACCTTTGCTCACTCATAAACCCTCATAAAAATTTTCTTTCCATCTGTGCCTTTTATTTTAACCATTGATTGTCTCACATTTTGATCTTTAATAAGCGATCATGATGTAATACAGTTCAGTAACTATTTCCTTGTATTTTTTTATAACACAATAAATTGGTATTTATGTAAATAACTGCTATTTTACAATGAAAAGGTGTTTCACTGAGAACTAGTACATTCTTGAAGCATGTCATAATATTATACACACATTTATTTTAACTTCTTTTAATAATTGAAATTTGTTCCCAAAAACAAATTATCATTTTAAATATGCAGCTTTTAGAGTGGGTTCTGAAGGAAAACAATGTCATTCTTTCAGTGCCGACGGACATTCTGTGGCATAATATAACTTTTAAAAAAAAAATGTTTGAAACAAGGAACTATTTGAGTCTGGAATAATTTTTAATTCTGGAAAATTGATATCAGCTATATCATAGCAATCACATGTTCCATTGTAAATGTTGACTATTTTACTATTCTAATATATACATATTTACTAGTGTTGTCAAATTGAACAGTTTTGACTAACCAGTTACTCGGACAATCTTTCGACTGATCATCTGGTCAACCGGTAGGCAAATTCGTGTTTTAAAGGTCTTCAGTACTCTACAAATGCACAGTTTTATAATAAGATGAGTTGAAATTTATACTTGGACATTATAAGGCTTGGAATTGAGCAGTCCTGGTGAAGTTTTATTTCTAATAACCCAATACTACCAATTTGTAACAAGTGAAACTGCGAGCTACTGCTCACTGATGATATCCCCTCCCAAATACTTGACGGTTAACAGGAAGTTGTTGAGTGATGAATCTGAAAACGCATCACACAGTATAACTGACTTATATAAACCCTGAAACCAAATTTCAGAAATCCTTGTAATGTAGTTCCTGAGAAAGATGCGACGAAAAATATTCATGGGACGGACTGACGGACAGACAGAGGTAAAACAGTATACATTACTTTTTTAAAGCGGGGGTATAATAACTTCAGATTAAGAAGATGAAAAGCGTCTTAATCTTGGCGAATTGACAATGTCTTTAATTGGTGATTCATTGTTTCATTTTCTCTGGTGTCCAAGAAAATTCTGTGGAGTGTTTTGAGATGATTAACATGTTACTCGTACCACACAGTATTATACATTAATTCCATTCACATTTTTATATAGGTCTACGCAATATTAAATCAAAGTAAAATAATGACGTAGATCATAAATTTAATCAGGCTACAACTGTTCAAAATACATGTAATTATGTTTACTTGAGCCGATGGACAAGTCGTCTTCGTGTTAATTAATTTTGTAAAATTGGAGTTTTTTCAAGGTTTAACAATAGTAATCAATATACTGGACAATTGATCTGTCAAATTAATGAGCTAGACTATCATT